TGATTCTTATTCGAATATATATTATTTCTAAAAAGCATCAGCAGACGACTTTATCGACTTTATCGACTTTCCTTGTTATTTAGACCTCCATCTCAGAGCCTTTACTAGCTAAGGATATCAAGTGTTAAATATAATCTCTTATTTTACAGTCAGCTCCAAATTTTGCTTTGCAAAAGATAGACTACTCTACCATTCTTGCTGAAATATAGATTTTGGCCAGCATATATCAAAAATTGTAGGTCCCTTTTTCGTGTCGTATAATTTACCGTATAATATAGCGAATAATGTATCGTACAATGTATCGTATAATAATATATATCACCATCTCTTTAACCTATCTACTTAACACTCTAAATTCTAGTATATAGAGTAGGGCCTTTTTTCGTATAATATATCGTAAAATAATATATCAATATCTCTTTATCGTATCTACTTAAATACAAATACATCGTATAATAGTATATCACTATCTCTTTATCGTATCTACTTAACACTCTTTACACTAGCATAAACTTCTTTGCTTTTTTAATAACCTGTTTTGCTTTATTTTTTCCTGTTTATTGTATTTTCTTAAATAATATATTAAATTAAGATTATTTTTATTTTTACTTGAGAATTCTATTTTCTCTACTAACAACTTCCTTCTAAGATGTAGGCTCTAATAAAGTCACTGACAAACTTGGCTATGAAAAGGGGCATAGTTGGCCGGACGGGCAAATAAAACACCTCCATCTTGTTGAGGATAATATTAGAAATATTTGTATTCTAATTGGGCCCTCAGCATTTCATTTTTTTATTCTTATGTATTACGTGATTAGGCTGACGTAATATATTGATATAGTTATTGATATATCACTCGATATATCCAACCCTTTCCTCTTTACTTCTTTTGCTATAGCCCTACTTTTTACTACAGTAAAACATGTGAAAGCTATTTGTAAACCCCGAAAGTTTCAAGACATCCAAAATTTAAGACCCAGAAGTTATTAAAGAATGAATTTGGAATATCGCGGCGCAGAGCGAAGAAGTTGTATGTCACGTCAATTCAAAGCGTTTTACAGGGCATCTTCTAGTCGTACTCTTTTAGTTGTTTCTCTCCACGCTATTGCGGCAGCCAATGGAAATTAAATTTTATTTAAATTAATGATGAGGCTTATAATTGGCCTCGTTTTTGGTTTCATCTTCTTTCTATTTATTTCGGTTTTATTATTTTTTATGTGGACACTTCACAGTGTGAATGGCGGCGACATTCTCAGCTCCAGCTCCATCTCGCATCTCCATTTCGCACAAAGCCATCAACAGCAGCAGCAGAAGCATTGACGTCGTCGTCTCTGGGCTTTTCTTTGCTGGCTTTTTAAGAGCATTTGACATGACTTGGGCTGGGCTTCGTTTTCCGTGCGATGCGCTTCAACTTTGATTATGACGTGAAGTTGGCCAAGTGCAAATACTTTGCTGGTACTTTTTAATTAACTTAATTAGCATAGATGATGGGCTAAGAGCAGCGCTTACACAACATGAAAATTGCATTATGTCTTCTGCCACTGCCGCCCTCCCTCTCCCCTTCTCCCATACGTTGCGTACTTCTCGCATGCGAAAGTTCGTCAAAAGTCTTGCTGATGGGGATGGAGGGGCGAACGTGAGGGTGATGGGGGTGTGCATGTTTCTGGCCTTTTGATTTCGGCTATGGCAGGCATATACAATGCTTTGGGGGGTTGGCTTCCATTCACATGCTCATTAATGTGCATAATGTGCTCAAAGCTATTCGAAGCGATTGCTCTTTTAAGTACCGACATACTTTTATGCTCTTATGTATGACCCCCCCTTCCCCCAGTCAGCTCCCCCCTTCCCCTCGACTAACCTGCCTTATGTTAAATTAAGTTCTAACATACTAATTGGTCATATTAATTAGAAATATCTCAATGGGGAGGAGTGCTCTGTTGTGTTAAATATTCAGGAATTCCTAAAGGACCTTTTCCATTTTCAAAAAAAAAAAAACTGCAAACGTACTCAATGAATTTGCAAGCTGAATTTTGGGATAAATGCTTAAATCTAATTTGACAAAACTTGGGCTCTTGCTCATATAACTCTGGAACCTTATATTCTTCGCAGGTGGAGAAGGTGGGACATCTTCCAGAATTTATAAAGAATCTATGTAAAAAAAACCCGTTCGAATAAGAAATTGAATAATTGAATGAAGAGCAAATAAGCTTCATGTAACCTTTTTCCCTCCATATTCCACACTTGCAGGCGAAATTATCCGGAATCCCGTTTTAGTGTGAACTGAACTCAGCTTTAACGATTTGAGCTTTGCTTTGATCTTCAATCAGTCAGTCAGTGAATCAGTCAGTCAATCAGCCAGTCAGTCAGTCAGGTAATCAGTCAATCATTCCATTGGTCATTCAATTTATTAGTCAGTCACTCAGTGAATCAGTAATTCAGTAAGTCAGTCAGTTACTCAGTCAATCAGCCAGTCAGTCAGTCAGGTAATCAGTCAATCATTCCATTAGTCATTCAATTTATTAGTCAGTCACTCAGGGAATCAGTAATTCAGTCAGTCAGTCAGTCAGTTACTCAGTCAATCAGTCAGTCAGTCAGTTAGTCAGTCCATCAGTCAGTCAATCAGCCAATCAATCAGTCAGTCAATCAGCCAATCAATCAGTCACTCAGTTGGTCGTTCACTCAGTCAGTTAGTCAGTCAGTCCATCAGTCAGTCAATCAGTCACTCAGTCAGTTAGTCAGTCAGCCCATCAGTCAATCAATTAGTCAGTCAGTCAGTCAGTCAGTCAGTCAATCAGTCAGTCATTCTGTCAGTCAGTCAATTTATCAGTCAGTTAGTCTGTCAATCAGTCACTCAGTCAATCAATCAGTCAGTCAGTTGATAGTCTTAAAGGCCTTGCGATCTATTTCGGCTAGGTGGAAACTTCGATTAACACATCCAATTAATGATTTTTATAGTCATGATTATTGCTTCTGCCGATTGTTGGTTCCACAAATTATGCGCCACGACTTTTGAAACTTAATTTATGTGTCCAAAATTGCCTATTTTTTTTCTCAACTTTTTTCTTTATTTAATTTTTAGTCAAAAAAAAAAGTAATCTCTCAAGTGGTTGTTGTTGCTTTTGTTGATATTGTTGCTTGGTTGTTGCCCCCATTTTCCACCAGCTTCCAGCTGCCCCTTGGCCGGAGGCGCTAAATGCAGGAAAACAAAAAAAATAACGGAAGAGGCAACGCAATGCCGGAGACATAAGAAATTTGTATACGAAATCTATAAATTTTGTCTTAATTTTTTGTGTCTTTTTTTTTTTTCTCGGGTTTTTCTTTTATAGCGCGTGAGTTTTGATTTACGCGCCATTGGACATTTTATTTGGATCGGAGTGTTTGGTTTCCCAGAGCACATATTTATTTTTATTTTTATTGCTTTTTAATGCGCCGCCGAGGAAGTTTTATTTCTGTGGGCAACTGCAATTCCCCTACCAACGTTCGAGCTTAGGCTGTGCGTGTGGATTGTTGAACAATGAATTTTCTTGGGATTATGTATGTGTATATATGGTATGTAAATATATATATACTTGTGTGTGGAGGGATGGGTGAAGGGGGGGAGGAGCTGGCAACAATAGCGCTGCGGTGGCGCTTTATTGTACTCTCTCGTAGAAGGTATTTTTATTTTGACACGAAATGTGCAACACATTGATGAAGTGAGCTGCAATCATACAGACTATAATATATATATAGATAATACTTTATATATCTGTAACAACAGTCGATTCATGATAGCCAAGCTCTTCTGTCCCGTCTGTTGATATGCAAAGACTATCTGCTTGAAATGTGCTATAGATCCTTTTCATACCCTTCCAGAGGATATTATTATATTGTCTCAAAATGTGTAACGCATAGAAGGAGACATCTCCGACCACATAAAGTATATATATTCCTGATCAGCATCAACAGCCGAGTCGATATAGCCATGTCCGTCCGTCTGTCTGTCTGTTACTATGCAAACAAGCCTCTCCGTTTTAAAGCTAAAGTCATGAAATTTTGCAGAAGTCCCTTCTTCTGTTGCATGCAGTACATATTTCGGAACCGGCTGGATCGGACATCTATATCATATAGCTGCCATAGGCACGATTGGTAGGAAAGTAGGTTCTTATATGAAAAACTTTTTTGTTCATCAAGATATCTTGACCAAACTCGGCATTTATTAGTTTTACTATGCTCCTCATATATATGCAAAATCCTAACAATATCGGACCACTTTATCATATAGCTGCCATAGGAACGGTTCGTAGGAAAGTAAGTTTTTATATGAAAAAGTTTTTTGTTTATCAAAATATCTTAACCAAACTCGGCATTTATTATTTTTAGTCTGCTCCACACACATATGCGAAATCCTATCCATATCGGACAACTCATCATATCATATAGCTGCAATAGGAACGATCGGTCAAAAATTAAGTTGTTGTTAGGAAAACTTTTTTGTCTTTCAAGATATTTTGACCAAACTCGGCATTTATTAGTTTTAGTATGCTCCACACGTATATGCGAAATCCTATCAACATCAAACTACTATATCATATAGATGCCATAGGAACAATCGGTCGAAAATAAAGTTGTGTGGAAAACTTTTTTGTTTATCAAGATATCTTGACCAAACTCGACAATAACTATTTTCTCTATGCTTCTTCGATACGAGCAAAAGATTATGAAAAAGTTCGGTCTGCAAGAGTATTGAATCTTCGGCGTGCCGAAGATAACCCTTATTTTTTCTTTTTAGCTGTACTCAGCTCTTCTTTCAATTCTGTTGCCATGTGTTTACAAGTGTGTTTAATTGTCGGCGTGCTGCCGATAGCCCTTTCTTCTTGTTTTAAATTCAAATGCGGCACCTTATATCATATTTACTTGCCGCTGCGTGCTTTATATGCCATTTACAATATATGTGTATGTCTTTCTTTATATATAATAATCATCAAATATTCCACTCTTGTCTTTTGCACCCCACGCAGAATACGCAGCAGCAGTCGCAGCAGGAGGAGGAGCAGCAGATGCAGCAGGCGAGCGCAGTCAGGACGAGGACGAGCACGAGCACGAGCAGGAGCAGGACTATTGCCACGTCCAAGGCGAGAGCCAGGGCCACGTCGTTAATCTATTTACCGCCTTTCTGCCAGCCATGTGGACATGTGCCTGCGGCCAGCAGCAGCAGCAGCAGCAGCTGCTGTTGTTGTAGTCAGCGACATAAAAATTATGATAAACATGCCGCAGCGCCGACGCTGACAGCGGCAGCAGCCACAGTCTCAGCCGCAGTCTCATCCTCAGCCTCGCCAGCAACTGGCTGGAAATTCCTGCAGCGTGATATTCAGTTAAGCGTGGATGAGGACGCAGTGGCGCATAGCTGCAACGATCTCAGACAGGCAACGCAATTAGTTATGCCAATTGTTGTAGGTGGCAGCAGCAGCAGCAGCAGCCACGTCTTGGAATGCCTGACGTTTCCGATGCGGCGCCAGCGACGTGAACGACAAACTCTGCACTCGCTGCACACAATAAAACCAATCAGCAATGCAGCAGCAGAAGCAGCCGCAGCAGCAACAGCAGCAGCAACAAATAGTTCGCAAACAACGACAACGGCTTTGGCCACAAGTGGCCAGAACGACGAGCAGGCGGATGGTCTTGGAGATGAAGATGAATGTAGGTGCTTTAACTACAACGGTGATATTAGTGCGCTGGAACGTCTAAAGCAGGAGCAGCAACAGGAGCAGGAGCAGGTGGAGGATAAGGAGCAGATGGAGCAGACTTGCGAGTGGTATCAACTTCCTAGCATTACGTGGCTAAAATTCTGGCAGCAGCTGCTGCGGCGGCAACTGTGCAACAACAGCAGCAGCGACGCCAACAACTCCGCCAATGCGACAACGCAAACAACGAACACAACGACAACAACAACAACAGGAACAGGAACAACATCAATAATAGACAGGAGCAGGGGAAGGTGCGGGCAGCTGGAGCCAATCACAAGGCTGGCAACGAGCTGTGGCAGCAACAGCATGACGTCGACAAAAAGTTGGCTGGGACCGCTTTTGCTGACTCTGCTGCTGGCCACGTCCGTTAGGGGCTGGGGCGGCCGTCAAGATGGTGAGTAGCAAGTGCAAATAAATAATGCCCCACTCTGGGATACCCTCTAATATTCAGTCTGTCTTTAATTGGCAACTGCGAAGTCGATGTTCCAAGGCGGCGCTAATTGACGCTTAATATGAACTCATAATTGTAGCCGTGAGTTTGTGCTGGAGCAGGAGACGACTTTAATACATGAGTCTTAAGTTTTATTTATCGCAGATTATTCCGAATTTGTAAATAATTGAAATGAAGGAGTTTAAAGATATAAGTGTAATTTGCTTGCTTAACAAAGATCAAGACAAGATCTCAGCAAACGGAAAATAGGTTGAATCAGAGAGTTCTACAGGGCAATCTTTGTGTTTTTATCTCTAATCCTTGGATCGATATTAGGGACAGGGAAGTTATTAGAGAAAAACTCGATATTAATCATGTAATTGGCAACGTGAGATTAAGCTGGAGCTCAGCTTAAGCCAGACGACTTTAATACATGAGTTTTTAGTTTTATTTATATGCTTGACTGCCTTTTGTTTGTTGGAAGATTGAAAAGAAGGAGCTTGAAGATATAATCGAAATCTGTTTGCTTAAAAAAGATCAGGGCTAGAGCTCAGCAAAAGGAAAATAGGTATTATCAGAGAGATATAGTATACAGGGTAATCTATATGTGTCTTTAGTCATATAATAAAGACAGGCAAGTTCTCAGAGAGAATTCCGATAAACTTATTCTGCAGTAATATAGTTTATCACAAATTTAATATATTATTGAAATTTGCTTGACAAGATCTTAGCAAAAGGAAAAAAACTATAATCAGAGAGATCTACAAGGCAATCTTTATGTTTTCAGCTCTAGGCTTTAGGAAGAAAAAGCCGATAGACTTAAGCTGCATTACCAGAAGATATCTATCTAAAATTTCAAGTCTTTAGCTTCCAAACAACAAATATATGCCCTACAGTATATTTATACAGGGTATTCTAAGTGGAATAGCAGTCTAGAAGAAGAGTGGCTGAGAATGCGCGTAACGCATGCCGTTAAGTAGCGTTATGATAAGAATTTATAATTTGACTTGCGCCAAGATGGAGACAGCCCCCCCCCCTCCCCCTCCCCCCTTACAAGTGCCCCCCCCCACAAATACCCCCGTCTCCCTTTAACGCAAACAACAAAACATTTCATTTAATTTTGAGCATAATTTTTAGTTGGCTATGCAGAGCGTCAGCTGCTGCTGCTGTCTGACGCCCAACCCCTACGTCGACGCCGCCTCTGCTTCCATCTGCGCTCCTTCCTCCCTCTCTCTCTCTCTGGTCATGCTCAATTGAATCCATAAGTAGTTTGTGACCACAGATCTGCGTGCTCGTAAAATGCGTTTCAACTGTTTCTCCATGAGCGAATTTGCCCCGAAAACCAACCAAAACGCAAGTAAGAGTGTTTGAGTAACAAGTGCCTGACCTGAAGATACCCTGGACATCATCTGTTGAGCTGTGCTTAGAAAATGTACGGAGATGCCTATTAATATATAGATGGACCTTATGTTCTAACATACCCTTTACCTGCTTAAAGTCTTTAGGGATTTTAGATTTCGCATCTCCAGCTCTTACAATCTTAAATATATGTTATGAAACCTAGGCTAAACAATCATTTTTTTCATTGACATCCGCCTCCCAAAGAGCTGTTTGTGCTAACATACCCTTCACCTTCTTAAGGTCTTAAGAGATTTTAGATTTCGCATCTCCAGCTCTGACAATCTTAAAGAAATGTCAAGAAACCTGGGCTAAAAATTGATATTAACTAATTTTTGGCAAATTATCAATATCAACTGTAGTACAACCTTTATCTTCCATTTTCAATGGGTACAGGGTATTAAAAAACAATAAGAAAACAACAGCAAATGGCAAATTGTACGGAAATTGCCCGAAACAAACAGTCAGCAACCGCCGTCCGTCCGTCCGTTCGACCACCGACCGCTGACCATAATTCACTCAACTTAGACAAAAGCATTTTCGGGACGCCCCGTCCCCACCCCTGCAGCCCCCCCTTCGCCACCCCTCTGCTCTCGGGGTCGCTAACCAAACCGAAACGAAAGTCCAAATTCCAAATGCAAACGCAAATGAGTCTAAAACGAAGCGTCATGCTCTTTGAGCTGCTCTTGAGTGTGTGTGTGTGTGTGTGTGTGTGAGTGTTGTGCGAGTGAGTGTGTGTGTGCTGCGTAGTCATTGTCCCGTCAATAAGGGTGGTCCAGCATTGCGCCCTGATAGTACACTCGCCGGCAAGCACTTAATGTATCCACACCCAGCACAAGGTGCAGGCTGTTCGAGGGGGAGAGGGGGTAGGAGGAGGAGGAGGAGGGGAGGGGAGGGGCGTTTTAATTGGGTTAAGGAGCTGTTAGCGCGTTAAAGCTGTCATTAAACATCCAGATCTGGATCTAGTCGTTGAGATAAGTGCACACATGTCTAACAACCGGTTGAAGGTCTCGTTAAAAGTGCCCGTCATAATAATGTGATAGACAATAATAGTTATGAGTTCCATAAAAGTGGTTTTTCCTTTTTCTTTCTGGTGAGATAATAATTCAAATTGCTAGCATATGACAAGTCTCTAAAAGCCTGAATAAACTATGCTAAACATTTCTTACATTTACAAACTGCACATTCTGCGATTCCATTAGCAAGTGTCAGTTGTTGGCAAAAGTATCGCTTCGGTTCGACTTGATTTACCTAAGCGCCGCAAAGTTTTCCTTTCAAAGGTCAAATAATACGGCTTGGAAGGAGGTGCTTCCTTTAATGGACTCTTTGTGCGATTTGGCCATCTTTAAATGTGGAATTCATAAAATTAAAAATTATAATTTAAAGTTACCGCTTGCCTTCGTTGCTATATCAGCCCTTTGTGGTAATGATACTTTTATATTTTTCATAACATCGATTCGAAATTTGATAAATCATTAGAAAAAAACACGAATTGTTCGGGACGAATACACACATTTTTGAAAATGTCACATTTTTGAAAAATTTTAAAATGGGCCTCATTTTTCACATTTTTTAAAAATGTGACATTCGCGAAAAATGTAAGAAATGTGGCCAATATATTTCACATTCGCAAAAAATTGTAAATTAAAAACAAATGTAAGAAATGTTGATAGTGGAATTAGGGAATTAGGCTATAGAGTTTATGTTAAAAGTAACCTGTTCCTGTTCAAGGATTGTGTTTTGCGGCGGTTCAAAGATACCCTGAACTCTGAACCCCGACTCGTCTGTTATCTTAACAAGCATATAAATTGACTTTCGGATCGAAGATGCTTTCTCCTACATTTTCACAAAGTCAATATACCCTTTTAAGCTATCTTCAGAGGTTAGACATTTCATATATCTCCCCATAACTTTTCTCTCTGGCTTACTCCCATTTGATAGGCTCATGCTGAAACCTTTCTTCTGTTTTTTTTTTTAAATTAAACTCGTTAAAAGCGCGCAACGTGCCAAATATAGTCTGATAAGGGTTTTGGGCTGCGATACGATGTTAATGCCAGCGATTACTGTCAGTTGAGATAAGAACAAAATGCCAAACGCAACTCTTTCGAGTTACTTAAATATTTCCCCTTCGCTGCCCGTGTTTCGCCTTTTTTCCACCCAACAATCCACTCGGCCAGGCGGTTGCCTGCCTGCCTGGCGTACTTGAGCCACACTAATCCACACGAAACACGCCAGAAAAAAAGTATATTTTTTTCTTCTATGTGTGTGTGTGAGAGTGTGACTGTGTTTGTGTGTGTAAAGCCCGTCATTTCGAACTGTCCATACGTATTTGCACGCTTGTCTGTCGCTCAGCTCTTCCGTCCGTCCGTCCGTCCGTCCGTTGCGTTTATTTTTGGTATATTTGCTCTTAGCGTGTAGTTTTGTTGGATTTATCCTGCAGCTAAAATTCGGGGGTAGCTGCTGCTATTGTTGTTGCTGCTGTTGCTGCTTGTTGGGCCACTCAGGCAGAGAGTATTGAATCATGTTGGGGCATTATGCACGGCACTTGAAATTGGCGAAACAATTACAATCCGTCCCGCTTTGGGGCTGCCCTGCAAAGTATGCTACACTTTATATATATACACACGCCCACTGTGCGTAGGGGTAGAGTGTGGAAGGGGGAAGGGGAAGGGAGGGGGGGGACACATTATGACAGCTACCGCAACAACAGCATCGGTAGCTGAACAAATGTACAAGTCATTGGACAATGGAAGAGTCAGCCGCGAGGGGGCCTGGAGCGGGGAAGGGGGTGGGGGAGGGGGGGCGGGTTGGGCTCAATGCGGCTCAGAGTTCACAGCGATTCGCTGATCCTGCGCAGGAGCACCTTTTGTTTGCCACAAATGTGGAAAACAACAAAATGAAAATGAGAAGCAACAAAACAAAAAAAAACGAAAGAACAAAGGCAAAAAAAGTAAAGCAAAATGAAATAAAATAAAATACAGTAAAGTAAAGTAAAATAAAAAAAAGGAAAGGAGAGGAAAGGAATAATAAAATAAAATGTGTATAGCTGTGCTGTGTGTGTGTTTAAGTGTTTGTGTGTGTGTGCGTCAATTCGTGCGCACATTCGTCTCTGCTTCTGCTGGCGACTTTTGTACATTTGAATGCGTAGAGCACTCGGCTTCGGCTTTTTTGGGCACAGCCCGACCCGACCCTGCCCTTCCCTGCCCAGCCCACCCTTAAGCACCAGGCATAAAGCTATATTCTACAGGGTGGTTTTACCATTTTCTAGTCGTGCGTGTGTGTGTGTGCGCTTGTATGTATATATGTATTGCATTGGTTATACTTATTGTTTTCGCTCAGCCCCTTTTAGCTGCCGCTGTGTGCGTTTGTGTTTGTGTGTGTTTGTGTTTGTGTGTGTTTGTGTGTGCGGCATGCCTTTAGCTAACGGTTCGTTTTCTTTGCCTTGGCTTGCCAGCCATGCCCAATGCTCTCTCTTTATACTCTTTTTTTAATATTCACAATTGCCATTTCGGTAGTTTTTCTGTATGTGTGTGTGTCTGTGTGCGACATTATTATTATTACGAGCCGTTTTCTGGTTTTGCTGCTTGTTCAACTTATTTATGCGAGCCTGCGCCAGCGGAGGGTCGTAAATTTTTGGTCTCTTAGAGCCACACACACACTCACACACACATCGACACACACACACTTGGGCACTTACAAGCTGACACTTATGCGCACGCACTTAAATACAATCATAATAATAATAATTGAAACAATTTATAAATTAAAAAGCCACAAATCTTGGCATAAAAATTGACAATACAATTAGAAGAGCAAACGAAGAAAGTGAACAATGGTTAGGTACAATAATGTAGATTGTGGATATACCCTGTACCCAAAGTGACGGGAGAGTATATGCGTTTCAGTTTGAAGGTAGAGACCACAAACTTTGGTTATAGTCGAGTACATACTCGAGTCAATTAAGGTATTAAAGTCTTGTAGCCCCGCCCACAACGATTCTAGGAAATCCCAGAAATATTGGTGTTAGTAGTATCTCCCAAAGTCTAAGATCTAAAATGCGTTAATTTTCCATGTAGCTAATTAAAGATATTTCGAAGTGAATCAAAACTTTTTCGTCGACTTCAATAATCTCAAATACATTTTTACACTAAGAGAAACACAATGTTTAAAATTCTCATACAATTTAGAGTATATAAATGTAGTTCTTGAATATCCTCACATTAACTATGAATTATTTTTGGCTTCAAAATTGTGCCTGATTTCAGTACATGTTTATTTCTCTCAGTTGATCAGAGCGACAGTTCTACGAGTTCGTAACTCACTTAAAGTCTCCTTTCCAACACTGCTTTTAGATCTTTATATAACACTGTGCTTACCATATTTCGCATTCGGCTTCGTTCGACTAGAACCCTCTGACTTGATTTATTTTGGAACATTTGGGCTCTCGACTTAAAAGGCTCTTTTCCAACACTGATTTTAGCTCTTTATATAACACTGTAATTAGGGTATTTTGCATTCAGTTTCGTTCGACTGGAACTCTCTGACTTGATTATTATTGAAACATTTTGGGGAGCTGCTCTTTTATGCTGCAGCATCTTCCTCTTCTTGTTGCTGGTGTCGTTAAATGAACAATGAACCACAATTGAGGTCACATGCTGCTACTCACACCCAACACAAACACACAAACACACACATTCACACACTCGCAATTGTTGTGTAATTCAAATATAGCTCACTTATTTGGCTATTAAAATGTATATTAATAATTTATTTGCCTGCCTGCCTGTTTGCGTTTTTGTTTATTAATAAATGTATTTTTCGCCTTTGCAGCGCCCACAAATTGCACGTTTCCGGCACGCTGGGAGGGCTCCTGGTTCCTATCGGGCTATCAGCAATCCATACACATCAAGGGCTCACAGTTCAGCTACCGCGGCAGGTGTGCGGCCTCAGATGGTAACAAATATCTGATAGTCGATGAGTAAGTACCAATCAATACAGTCTCTGATAAAAATATGCTAACATCTCCACTCGAAATACGCGTCTCAACATTGGCTGGCAAATAGATTGAAGAACAGAAAAGAAAGAAAAGTCAAGCAACATGATGAAGATGTTCAAGAAGCAGTTAAAGGAGATATTAAAAAAGATGAAGATAGAAGATGAAGAAGCAGAAGCAGAAGCAGAAGATGAAGTAGCAGATAAAACAGAACAGGCGTCAAAAGTACTTGTACTTGTACTTGTACTCATCGTCGCAGCTTCCCCCTTTTTTGTGTTTCCTGTTTGTAGGTTATGTTACGTTTTTTTTTTTCGGTACATTTTGAACCATTTGACTTTTGAGTGTGCGCCAAGTGGCTATAATTGAATAAAGTTTCGTTTTGTCGGCTGTTGAACGGCAGACCAAGGTAAGACTCAAGCCCAAACAGTCGCTAGGGCAGCAACAGTAGCAGTAGGAGCAGCAGCAGTAGCAGTACACTCAGAGAAAACACAATAAAGTAAATATTTAAATCTCCAAAATTGACAAATCATCTTTTTTTTAAACTAAAGTACTGAATTTCGAAAGTTCTATAGTTGAAAAAGTTCTAGGATTTTTTCAAGCATGCAAGTTCTTGTAATAAGTATTTGCTGCTTAAATTAAGACTTTTCTTATTAATGCAACACAAGCATTTAATGAAACCAAGAAAGGTGCACAAACAATTTTACTTTATGTATTTCTTTTCATAAGTTTTCAGACTTATTTCAAGCATAAAATGACTTGTTTCAAGTATTTTGAGCATAGGACTTAGGAAATTTCTCGTTTTCAGTATTTGGCGCTTAAACCAAGCTTTAATTCTTGGTAATTTTGTGTTGAGCACGCAAATAAAGTCCATACGCCACTTAATTCTACTTTATGTACGTCTCTTGACAACTTTTTAGACTTATTTCAAGTATGAAATAACTTGTTTCAAGTATTTTGAGCTTAAACCAAGCCCCAATAAATAATAAAGTGCATATTCAAGTTTCTAAAATCAAGCATGCAAGTTCTTATAATAAGTATGTGCTGCTTAATTTAAGACTTTTCCTATTAATGAAATAAAGAAAGGCGCACACTTATTTTAACTTTATGTCTTCTCTTGACAACTTTTTAGACTTATTTCAAGTAAGAAATAACTTGTTTCAAGTATGTTGAGCATAAGCCAAGCTTCCCTTCTTAGACATTTTTTGTTTAACAAGCAAATAAATAAAGTATAATTGAGTTTTAAAGAAAGAATTCTTAGCCACTTGCAGCACAATTAAGTGCATCCCCTTTTCTCTGAGTGTAGCAGTAACCCCATTAAGTGAGAACTTAAAAAAACGCTGCAACATTGGCCAACAACTGAGCGCCAGTTGCTCTCTCACACACAGAGGCATTGACATCGAGAGACACGGAGACATAGTTAGATACTAGGCTGAAAACCTGTCGTCGACGCTCTTGTCAGACATCTGCTCTTAACTTTGCCTATGAAACGAGTTTGTCCCTACCTTCCCCTTCCCCTACTGCCCCGAACTGCTCCTGTCTCTGTGTGAGAGTTGATTTCAATGTTCGACAACAGGCCCAGCCAAGTACCGAAACTCTCTGAACTAGCCAATCTACCCAATAATATATATATATATACATACGTCTTTTTTTTTGTGTACTTGTAAATGCTCTAAAGTTAAACTAAATTTGAAAACTATTTTTATAGGTTCAAAGGTGCCGACAGGCACCTAAACTCTGCTCTGCATCTAGTTTTTTTTTTTTTGTGTTGTAGTACTAAACTTAAGAACTTTGCTTTTTGTACGATAATTCAAAAACCTTTTTGTTTTGAATGTTTTTTATAAAAGAGAACAAACTAAAAAAAAAAAAAAAGCTATAATTATGGGCTGCTATATTCTCATGATTTTTGGATTTTGTGTTTTGCCATGTTTCCAATTACATATAATATTACATAAATATATTTCTAAAAAATCTTACTAAGCAACAAAGTCTTGCAAATTTTTGGTTGTAGCTGAAATGTGTCGAAATTTTTGTTTAAATTCAACTCTTTAAAGCTTTTTGACAAAAAAAAGACAAAACCAATTAGATGTTAATCAATTGACATCTGTTTGTCTTTTTTTTTGGAAATTCTTTTAACATATAAACGAACATTTTTACTCCATTTTTTTGTAAGTATTTTTGTCGTGTACTCCAATTATTTTCATCTCATTAATATTTATCGTAACATATTGAATAAACCTAACAAAGTTTACGTATCGTACTACATATGATCGTATGTGCCATTTACCAACTAGGAAACTAACAAAAGCCCCCCACATTTTGCCTAACCTCTGAAAAAGAATAAAAAAACAACCAAAAACATCTATTTTGATTTTGAAAAATGTTCAATTACAATTTTTAACCAATTGTTTAACATCACTTTTCAACAACATATATTTTTGTTAATCTTATTCAGTTATTAAGTGTACGTCCTTTCAGTTCGTTTTGTATAATCATTTTCTGTTTTCAACAATATAACGAAATATCTAGCTTCCAATTGAAAAGTAGCCCACATCGAACTGGGTTCGCTTTTTTACATACACCGAATATAACCAAACAGCATCCATTTTTTGGTACACATACTTACATAGAAGACTGTGCTACGTGTAGAGCAGCTAAACTATCGATTGCACTATCGATAAATCGTTTAATTGTCCTTCTCTACACTTTTGATTGGAGAGAAAATAATGTAGACACATTACTTTTCATGATCCTCCCACTTCCTTTTGATTTAAATGTTTTGATGTGGATTAAATGAAGCATATCCCTATTTTTGCGATTTAAAAGCCGCGATACTATCGACTTTTCTTCTATCGAAACTATCGAACATATCGACTCTCTAACAATCGATAGTTTAACAGCTCTACATGTCAATTCAGCTTGTTTTGGGGAATCAAAAAAAAAGAAAACTCAATTTTGGCGATAAATCATTGGGTTTTGAATGTAGCCGGATGTTTCCTGCTGCGTTTCGCACTAAAAACATTTCATTCATATAAATATAAAAATATCGAACAAACATGAATTGCAAACAAAATTAAAGTTAAGAAGCCTTGATTTAAGTATACTAAACGCATTTTGTTTTTACATTCAAGTGTCGACTGCGAAAACTTTTGCCAACACAACACTTTACAGTCCAACACCAAAAAAAAAAAAAAAAAAAATGAAAAAAAACAGTCCAGATAAAAGACAAAAGATAAAAGAGAAACAAAACCGAAACGAAACGAAACAAAACACAAAACAAAACAAAACAAAACAAACTTATATATAACATATAACTACAATCGTAAGAAAACAAACACAATACAAAAACTTCTCGTTGCAACCAAAAACTTTTTTTAGGAAAGGATGTCATCGTTGCCTGGTTATCTATGAGAAGCATAAGAATGTGCTCCAGTATAAAGAAAGTGAGTGCGAAGGTGATAGTATGTATATGCATCAGTCGAATCCATCTGCACTGGCGATGCGTAGCTCTATTAAACAAAGTGATCATAGGGGGGGAGCTCATCCCAATACGAACAACGGGCATTCAAGACTATCATCATCGGATCAGTACATAATGAGATCCAATGACGATATGAATGATTGTAAGCATTAACTTTATACTTTTTTATTATTCTAAACTTAAGCAAAAGAAAACCAAATACAAAAACTCTATTCTCTCTTAACTCGCTATCTCAAAATACCAGTTCTATTTTTTTTTTATCCACCTCTTAACATTTCGATTCTCGATCCAACATAACTAACATATATCATTATTAATTTAATCGCATTCCTTAGCTCTTATACTTTAACTCTTAATTTTGATCCCATTTTCGTTTTGTTTTGGTCACAAAACAAAAATACAAAAGTTTTTTTTTGCATTCGAAAGGCTGACAAAAACAACAAGAAGAAGAAGAAAAAAGAACACATAAACTTGAAGGATTCTCTACCTTTTTTTTTCTTTTTAGTATTTTGTAAAGTAAAGTTGAGTTTTTTACGTTGTTTATTTATAATTTATTCAATAATTTTGGTATATTTCTTTAATTTATTCTTTAACTAAAGCAACTTTTTAAGTTATTTTGAAAAAAAAAAAAAATAAATAAAAATTTATGAAACCAAACCAAACCAAACCAAACTTGTAAATAGTCTCAACAACAACAAAAATACTCTGCATACCAAATGATATATATTAAAAAAAAAAAAAAAAAATAATAATAATAATTCACCCCGTTTATGGCAAGGGTCCTCTCTCTATCTGTCTCTCTAAACTCACTTAAAAAGCAAACAAAATAATATAGATATATATTTGTATAAATATATATATATATATATACATATATATATAAACCAAAACCAAAATCGAATTGTATATTTCTCTCAACATACACACGTTGCAATTTATCCAAACGCGATATACAATCTACAATTTCAACTACTATTTAATCGTTAGTGTCAATCCAATTAAGCTACTTAGTTGCGATTCTCGAACGTATTAGCGATTAGCAGATTAACCCGTCCCAACACAACCTAACAAAAAAAAGAAACGAAAAGAAAACGAAAAAAAAGAAAAACTAACGAAATGAAAATCAAACACGTCAGCTTTAAAGTGAAAATCCGAAAAATCGCCCGCAATGAATTTAAGAAAACTATAACCAAATTTTAGTTTAACAAAAGAATCTTAAGTTTTCCTTTTAGTTTTTGCTTGGTTCTTGTTTTCATTTCTTTCAGTTCGACTTTAACTGTAAATAATTATATAAAAAAAAAAACCAAACAAAAACAAGAACTAATGAAAACATAAAATTGTGTAAATATATATAAAAACCATTTTCTTAAACAATTGAATTGTTTGTTCCGAATATATTTTTTAACAAAACATTTACATATACATATATCTATATATATTTGCAAAACTCTATTCAATATTTATATGATATGTATATTTTGTTACTTTACTTCAATATTTTTAAACAACTCCCCAACTACAACAACAGCAATAACTAAACAGCAACAACAACAAAAACAACAACAACAACAGACACCCAAAACAAATCGCTTTCGATTCAGCATTCCAAATATATACAAAATATACAGGGTATTCACAGTTTAAAGCAAAGCTGCACTTTGATTTTACGCAGATTTCAATGTGAACGGCCTTTTGTAGAGTTCAGTATTTTCCACTTCTTATTTCATTTGTTTACATTTGTCAATTGTAGAGATTTGGTATTTTTCGTAACAAAATGCCTCAGTACTAAGTGTATTTTCCAACACTAACTTTGCAAGTCTACAGCAACTCGACTAAGGGCCTGGGTTGCATAGAGAGTGGAGAGTTCATCTCGTTGTAGAAAAGCTAGCGCAAGTCTACTTTATACAGCTTTGCAGGCAATTAACTGTGAATACTCCAACTACAATTTACATTTTGTTTTTTTCTGTTTTCTGTTGTGTGCGTGTGTGTGTGTTTGTATTTTGGTGTGCTTTGTACAGTTTTATATTCGCAAATCAAATAAAACGAAAACCGTGAAACACTAAAGATAATATTAACAAACCAAATTGCACACACAGCAAAAAAAAAACGAAGTTTTCTGATTGGATTTTGGAAATTTGCATTTGAAAATTGTTTTTGTACCATATTTTAAAGGCCGTCACATGCAGAAATTGTTGTAAAATTGCGCGTTACAATTTGTCTAGTTATTGTACTACATACGCACCTTCTAACTAATACAAATAACAAATATCTCTCAACATATATTTTGTATTTACTCGTACATAGAGCTTTATACGTAAACCCGCCCCACCCCCCCCTAAAAAAAAAAAGATGGCATTTTGTTGGGCCGCGTCGCTTCGACTCATTTGTAAATAAAAAAACTCATCTAAATTCATACAAATACGAAAATGCCCAGCAACCAATTTCCATAGACTTTTCATTTATATCCAGCCGCAGAGGCACCTTTTGTAACATTTATTATGCTGTCCATGCGTAAAACTCGGGTTCCACCTGCAACTTTCAGCTAGTTATAATCAATCCACCCAACCACCCACACACACACACCAACACACCAACACACACGCACACACACACACACAGCTCTCTTTCAGTGTAAATTTCATTCGTTCATCTCATCTGAAAGTATGAGTATATAAATATGTATTTTATTTATTGCATACAGCATATACAAAATTCGATATATGGAAAAACCATTTAAAGCTCCGCTTTTAAAAGCAGTTTTTCCCCCCTCTTTTTTTGTTGTTTTGTTTGTCTTTTAAAGTTCAACAATTATTTGCACGTTCAGCGAGTTTTCCGTTTTCCCGTTTTCCGGACTTACACATTTCATTTGTTTCTTTCCATTTTCCATGATTTATTTATGGGTCTTCACGCAATGCTCCGAATACTGTAACCAGAAACATAACCAGACCCCGAATCAGATCTTCTTCATATATGTAAAGTCCATATAGATATATATATATTGTCCGGCCAAAAACTGCAAAAACTGTAGCTTAAATTTTAAAATGGAAAAACCCGAAATAAAAATAAAACCCTTTCTACGAGCATTAAACACTTGACGTGTACATTTGCTGTTATTTCTGATACCCTGTACTCAGTTAAATGGTTGAAAAGGGTAGCTTCTGGTAAAGGTACTTGAAAATAATAAATAAACTCCGTTTATATTTATTTTGATATTGTTAACTAACTATTCTAGAAGTTAGAGATTGATCTTTAGTCAAAATTTAGTGGTTCGGTTCACAGCTTGAACCAGTTCTTCGCCCTTGGTTCCTGTAGCTAATTTTTCACATCAATGAAGACAGGTTTTTTGGTTCGGTTCACAGCTTGAACCAGTTCTTCGCTCCTGGTTCATTTACCTGGCTTTTCACATAAGTGAAGACAGTTTTTTCTGTTCGGTTCACAGCTTGAATCAGTTCTTCGCGCCTGGTTCATGTAGCTGATTTTCCACATCAATTAAGACAGTTATTTCCGTTCAGTTCACAGCTTGAACTAGTTCCTTAGCTGTGGTTCATTTAGCTATTTTTTCACATCAATGAAGACAGGTTTCTCGGTTCGGTTCACAGCTCGAACCAGTTCCTCGCCCTTGGTTCATGAAGACAGGTTTCTCGATTCGGTTCACAGCTCGAACTAGTTCACCTGTGGTTCATTTTCCTGGTTTTCCACAACAATGAAAACAGTTTTTATTTATCTTTTTTTTCGATTTGAAGTGCAGCTTTGATTGCAGCTGGCTTACAGGGTATCTCCTGAGTCGAGTCCTCGTCAGCTGTGCTCTCCATTCAAAATTTGTGTGTGTGTGTGTGTGTGTGTGTGTGTGTGAATGGCTTTAGCTATCCAATCCTTTTGAGTGCAGTCTGGAGTGCTGCAGAAATAGTGCAAAAGTATGCAGCTCCGACCCCTTGGCCCCCCTCTAGCCGCTTTTAGGTTTTCGCATTTTGATATCTTTTAGTGGTTAATTGCTGTAATCCGCTTACTAGCAAGTCAAGAGCCTGTCTCCCTGGCACCCACTTGGCGCTGCGATGCAATTATGGCCAACTAATTGTAAGGCTAACTCCGTAATTGCGTACAAGTATCGCACGGCCAGATAATGCAGGAGCAGGAGCAGGAGCTAGTCAGAAGGTCCTTGCTCGGCTTAGACCTGGCTGCGGGCACGCATAGAAATGTAAATTCATTATTTATTATTTGTTTGCCTCAATAGAAATCAAATTAGTTTAAGTGGCGCCCCACAAGCAGCAACAGCTCGAGAGGACCGAGACCCGGTGTCAGACCCGACTCCGGCTCCGGCTCCGACTACGGTCTTGTGAATCGATTTGAAAGCGCCAACTCATGACACACGCCCACAGGCCCTTCCCGCCCACAGCCCCTCCCTCCAGAGGCCGTGCTCCAATTTAATGTAACCAACTAGGACTGACTGGCTGACTGCCTGACTGACACGTCTGTCAGCCTGTCTTCTGTCTCGCTCTCAGCTTGCGTTTTTGATTTGATTTTGTTTAAATATTAAACGAGACTTTTTAGATCTCATTTTTAATGCAAAGGACGGGGCGGTGCGGGGCGGTTGTTTATTTTGATTAGCAGTCCGTAAAACAATCGCTTTATTAGGTTTATGTCATTATTTGTTCTGACTGTCATACCCACAAATATAAACACACGCACACACACACACACACACGCACACACACACTTCTGCCTGGGGTGGCATTTTGATTAAAAGAGCAGCTTACAATATATTCAAAACTGATTGCAAACTGACTCTCGACTTAACTCACTTGAAATTGCATTTTCTGTACATGATATGCGTAATAATTGAATTTATTTAAGCCACATTTTCATAGCTGGCCAAGACAAAGGTTAATTGGACCCGGACCTGGACCCGGACAACAGGCAACTGTTTCAATTACCGACAACTTTCCAAAGGATTAACAGCTAATGCCAAACAATTATTTTGCGAGCTATACATAAATGTATATACACATTTAAATACATAGCTCGATGTCCTGTCCCTCCATTGAAATTGGGCACCCGCTTGCTTACATTTATCCCAATGGTTTGTTGTTCAGCTATTTTCTAATGAAACACAGTTTCGGGTATCAAAGGATGTTGTGAATGTGC